TCGCAGAAGGAGGAAACTGCCTCCCATGACCCCTCACTGCCCAGCATGGCGCGAATTACGCCTGGGAGTGAGAGGTCATCACCAATTGCCGCCACCAGAGTGCGGCGCTCTTCGGACCACGCTGTACAAACCTGAAGGGTGTGTTGCGCGGTGTCCTCATCAGCGCCGCACTCGTGGCACGACATCGTCTCCTCTCTCCGTATTCGGTAGAGGTATCTGCCGAAGCAGCCGTGGCCTGATATAATCTGTGAGAGTCTGTAACTCAATGCGCCGTGGCGCCTCCCGCACCAGTCCGAGAGCTGTGGGCGTATAGCCTCTATGGTGCGGGCGCCGTATTCGGCGCCCGCTAGGCTATTGGCCCACAGCTCTAGGGTCGTCCGCTTTCTCCTCGCCCGGGAGCGGGCGAGCTCCTCTGGGGCGAGCGATTCACCACGGGCTCTTAGCTCGGCCCGCTCCCGGTACGCTTCGGCCAGCACACCCGCCTCTACCTCCCATGGGGGAGTGCCGGCCAAAGCGCAGGCCGCTGCATGGCCCACCGTACGGTAAGCCATGCATGCGCGCACCGCAACGATGCGCTGCGGCCTGCGGAGGAGGGCCCTGTTCGGCGCGTCGAGGGCTTCTGCCCAAATCGGCGCGCCGTACAGGGCCATACTGCGGACGACCATGGCGTACAGGCGTCTGACCTGCACGCCCGGACCTCTCAGGTTCGGGAGGAGCCTGGCGAGGGCGGAAGCCGCGCCGACGAGTCGGGGGGTTAGCGTCCGGAAGTGATCTCCGAAACGCCAACCCCCGTCGAGGATAAGGCCAAGATACTTGATCCGGGCCTTAACCTCGACCTCGTCCCCGTTGATCCGGAGGGTCGCTCTCGCGGGCACTCTCCACCTCGGCCCTTTGAAGCAAAGGGCCTCAGTTTTGTGGAGTGCCACGCGGAGTCCGAGCGCCTCGATCCTCCGGACCAACAGGGTGGCCCCGGCTTCCGCCCTCCTCTTCACCTTCCTCCAGGTGGTGTCCCGGACGGCTATCATAGTGTCATCTGC